GACCAGGTCTCCATCCGGGTTCACAGTAGTTTGCTGAACGATGTAGGTAGGGCTTTGCCCTTCATTTCTAATATGTTGGTTTAAAAACATTAAGTTTTTGCTTTTCAAAGAAACTTCTTTTATTGTTGCATTTTTGGAACAGGTTTTCTGCAGCCTTCAAGGTAAACACTTTTTAACAGTGTTGTCACTTTGAGAAATTATCAAAAGGGCTAGGTGGAAGGTGATCAACCTTTGAGGCTTTCAAAAATGTCAAGAGTCCTCTGGAAATCAGTGAAGTAACCAGAATAACCAGGTGGTAAGACACTTCTAAGGAGCCCTGGTGGCACAGTGGTTAACATTAGGCTACAACTGAAAGGTTGGCACTTCGAACTCACCAAGTGCTTCAAATACTTGCCTATCTGTTCCCATAAAGCTTACAGCCTAGGAGGCCAGTCTCTCTTGTAGGACTGCTATGAGTCAAAATCACGGTGACAGCAACAAGAAGACCTGTTTTGTAAAGTAATTGGACTGACATTTTTCTCATGACTCATAAATTTACTTAAGGCAATTTCAAAAAAGTTTTAAGTTTTTTAACTTATTTAACTTAAATATTTTAAGTTTTCATTAATAATACTATGGTTGGATTAAGTACAAAGAGGGCTTCAAATAGTTCATGGGAAAATTCCTTTATCTTTTCATTTCACTTTCCCACAAACTTTTTGAGGCAGTTCCTGGTGAGACTGGCAGTCACCATTTTATCCCTGCAGGTTTTTGTTATTTTAGTGTTATTTGGTTAGACAAGCGAAGAACAGAAACACTGTATTCTAGATTGTTTTTCTCTCACTCTCATAGATGCTTGTTGCCAACATTGACTTGGGTCCTACTATTTTGGACATTGCTGGCTATGATGTGAATAAGACACAGATGGATGGGATGTCTTTCTTGCCCATTTTGGTGAGTATAAAATCCTCAATATTGGCCTGAGCCAATATTTTGAAGTAAATAATTAAGACCATTGAATTTCGGGGCTGGGACTTGACTTTTTCTCTGTTAAGTAATTGGAAGGACTAGTGGACTGTGTGTAAACATAAGAGTTCTAAAGGTTCGAAAACTCCATCATAAAACAAAGTTAAGACAGGTGACAGATTGGGGAAATACTTTAGTACTGATATGTGTTCTTCGAAATCTGAGATTAATGCCACAGGAGAAACATAGCACAGATTATTTTAGTTGTTGTTGAGTTGATTCTGATAGTGACCTGATGGACAGCAGACAGACACACGGCCAGTCTTGCACTCTCCTCATCATTATTGCAGTGTATGAGCCCACTGCTGTAGCCACTGGGTTAATCCATCTCCCTGAGGGCCATCGTCTTTTCATTGCCCCTCTACCAAGCAGGGTGTGCTTTCTCTAGCGACTAGTCCATCCTGATAGCATGTCCAAAGTGCATGATGAGATGAAATCTCCCCTCCTAAGGAACATTCTGACTTTACTTCTGCAAGACAGATATGACTAAGTCTCAGAAGAATTAAAAATGGCCAAAGTCAATGTAAAAAGATTACTTCAGCGGTGATAAAGGAAGTGTTTGACTGTAAGAGGCCTCTGTCACCTGTAGAATAAACTTTGTCATCAAGCTTTTCAAAATACCTGACAAATCCCATTGACATTTGATGAGAGAAGATCATCAGTTTTATATTCAACAAATCGTAACACTGTGTTTTATCTCAATGACTGTAATCCCCTCAGTGTAACAGCAGTTACCCCACTTCCCCCCTAGAGTTCCTGTTTCTATTCCACCCCCATTCCCATCACTTCTCAGCTTAGTCCTTAGGTAAATGTTGCCCTTTTGATCTTGAATGATTGACCACTCCATGGTGAACATACCTTACTAGCATTGTTGCCTCCTATATAGCTATCTATCTAAGGAGCTCTGGTAGCATAGTGGTTGCACTATGCTTAAGTGGTTACTTAAGGCTGCAAGCCTTAAGATCAGCAGTTCAAAACTACCAGCCGCTCCGCGGGAAAAAGATGAGGCTTTCTGCTTCCGTAAAAATTTACAGCCTCGGAAACCCTGTACAGGGTCGCTATGGGTCGGAACCGACTCAATGGCAATTAGCAACAACAACAATAACAATATATCTATCTAACAGTGTTTCTCTGCTATTCATAAGGTTTTCAGTGACTATATTTTTGGGAGTTGTTTGTTCCTTTTTTTTCCTATTCATTCCTATTGAATGATGCAAAAAGCATCAAGAGAAGATGGAAGGAATATACAGAGTTATTGTACCGAAAGGAAATGGTTAATGTTCGACCATTTCAAGAGGTAGCATATGATCAAGAGCCAATGAAACTGAAGAAGGAAGTCCAAGGTGTATTGAAGGAATTGGAAAAGAACAAGGCACCAGGAGTTGATGGAATAAAAATAGAAATCTTCCAAGAAAGTGAGGCGGCCCAAGAGGCCCTCACTCATCTCTGCCAAGAAATTTGGAAAACAACTATCTGGCTGACTGATTGGAAGAGATCCATTTTTGTGCCCATTCCAAAGAGAGGTGATCCAATGGAATGTGGAAATCATCGGACAATGTCTTTGATTGCGAGTAAAGTTTTACTAAAGGTAATACAGAAACAGCTACAATCATACTTTGACAAGGAACTTCCAGAGGTTCAAACCAGATTCAGAAGAGGCCGTGGAACAAGGAATATCATTGCTGATGTCCGATGGATGGATCTTAGCTGAAAGCAGAGAATATTAGAAAGATGTTTACCTGTGCTTTATTGACTACGCAAAGGCATTCGATTTTTGTGGACCATGACAAGCTATGGACAACATTGCCAAGTATGAGTATTCCGGAACACTTAATTGTGTTCATGAAGAATCTGTACCTAGACCAAGAAGCAGTTGTTTGAACAGAACATTGGAACACTGAATGGTTTAAAATTAAAGAAGGTGTGTGACAAGGTTGTATTCTTTTACCATACTTATTCAACCTCTATGCTGAGCAAATAATTCAAGAAGTTGGGTTCTATGAAGAAAAACATGGCATCAGGTTTGGAGGAAGACTCATTAACAACCTGCAATATGCAGATGATACAACCTTGCTTGCTGAAAGTGAAGAGGACATAAAACATTTTCTGATGAAGATCAAAGTGCACAGCCTTCGGTATGGATTACATCTCAATGTCAAGAAAACAAAAATCCTCACCACTGGACCAGTAAACAACATTCTTATCAATAGGGAAAAGATTGAAGTTGTCAAGGACTTCATTCTTCTTGGATCAAGTGTCAGCACTCATGCAAACAGCAGTCAAGAAATCAAACAACGTATTACATTAGGCAAATCTGCTGCATAAGACCTTTTTAAAGTGTTGAAGAGCAAAGATGTCAGCTTGAGAACTAAGGTGCACCTGACCCAAACCATGGTATTATCAGTAACCTCACACGGATTCGAGAGCTGGACAGTGAATAAGGAAGACAGTAGAAGAAGTTGATGCCTTTGAGTTATGGTGTTGGAGAAGACTATTGAAAGTGCCATAGGGTACCAAAAGAACCAACAGATCCGTTTTGGAAGAAGTGCAGCCAGAGTGCTCCTTGTAGGCCAAGATGGCCAAACTTTGTCTCTCATACTTTGGACATATTGTCAGGAGGGACCAGTCACTAGAGAAGGCTATCATGTTTGGTAAGGTGGAGGGTCAGAGAAAAAGAGAAAGACCACCAGTGAGATGGATTGGCCAAGTGGCAGCATCGATGGACCCAAGCGTGGCAACAGTACTGAGGCTGGCCCAGGATTGGGCAGTGTTTCGTTCTGCTGTGCATAAAGTTGTTATGGGTTGGTATCGACTCAATGGCAAGTAACAACAACAACAATAGATATCTATCTAAGGAGCTCTGGTAGTGTAATGGTTACAAATCGGGCTGCTAATCTCACGGTCAGCAGTTTGAAACTACCAGCTGTTCCGTGGGAGAAAGATGAAGCTTTCTGCTCCCGTAGAGATTTACAGCCTCGGAAACCCTGTACAGGTTTGCTATGAGTTGGAACTGACTCCTTGGCACATAACAACAACAACAACCATATATCTGTCTACTGCTTGACTGAAAATTGGACCACGAGGGTGAGTTCCTTTTCAGACCTGAAGGGTGGTCGAGGGCCATAGTCTCAGGTTCCTTCAGTCTCTTTCTGATTAATAAGCCCGGTTTTTTTTTTTTTCGTGTATTGTTCCACATTTTCTTCTATTGTATCCAGGGCCATCTAATGCCACCCCTTTCAGAGCCGTTGGTAGTGGCAGTTAGGCACCATCTAGCTCTTCTGGTCTCAGAGTCATGGAGACTAATGTCCACATGGTCCATTAGTCCATTGGACTGATTCCAAACCTTTTCAATTCTCATCACTCTTCTTTCTTCTTTGCACGTGGTGAAACGCATAGCTGCACCTCAGATGGCCACTCATGAGGTTTAAAATCCCAGATGCTACAGTTAGGAGAACTGTTATGTCTTATAGCTTTCTTTGGTTAGTAGGACTGACCTTTCTAAAGTACAGCATTGGTTGTACATCTGTGTCTTCCTGTCACCTGTTCTTCTTCATAGAGGGAAATGTACAGTCTGCTATTCAAGGCCTTTCCTGTCTGCTCACCAGCCTGCCTCTCCACTCTGACCCTTCATTGCTTCCTTGTCTTAAGAGCCATGTTTCAGGAAGCTACCATCCTGTACTCCTTTGATCCCAAACTGCCTTTTACTCATGGATTCTTCCTCCTTTTATCATCTGTATGCCTGTCTTGAACTTTCCCCTTTCAAATGGTGCTGCTTTTTCCCTTCTATACCACCCACATGCTTGGAAGGTTAAATGAGCTAATACATACATTATGTTTTTGTTATGAACATGAAGAGGCACTTTGAATCTATTGTAGTCTCTGTGTATGCTGAGTTATAAGCTTCTTGGGGTACGAGTTTAGGGCAGTTCTTGTACAGAGCACTGCCCATAGTAAGTACTGTGTGTTCTAATCTGGGCTTTGTTCAGTTTGTTGTGTGATTTTGATCCTTGCTTTTCTACTTTGTCGGTTTCCATTTCAGACCTACTTTATAGCAGTGGTTTTATAGAGTAACTATTAAATGTTGAAAGCATTTGACCATCAGTTATAAGGGCTCTGTAAATACCAAACACAATACTAAGTAGCCTTCATATGCATCTGTTTTAGTCTTCCCCTTTAGTTACAAATGAATAGTCCAATTAGTGTTTCTCTGTGTCCTCTTCAGTTGTAAGGTAAATAACTTTGTGATCCTTATCACAAAATGTATATGCCTAATAGAAATCGTCTTTCTCCTATTTCTAGAGAGGGACTAGTAATGTCACCTGGCGATCAGATATCCTGGTGGAATATCAAGGAGAAGGCCATAATGTCTCTGACCCAACGTGTCCTTCTGTGGGTCCTGGAGTATCCGTGAGTAATAGCTGGAGCTGACTTAACTTTTTTTTTTTTTTTTTTTTTAACACCATGAATAACTATTTAGTCTTCTTGCATGGAACAAAAGGTAAAGAATTCACAAATACCACCATCAAAGCATGTGTTTCAAATTAACATCAGACTTCGGTTTTCAAAACAATTTCTTTACAGTTCTGCAGCCAACCTCAGAAGCCAGTGGTTCTTTTTTCAGAGAAGTCTCATGATGATTGCCTCCTAGGGGCTTCTCTGTGTTGAATTTGAGAGGTAAAGCAAACAGAGATACGTGGTGAGAAGAGAGAGCCACATCTGAAGAGCAGGGAAAACGGCTGGGTTGAAGAAGCGGGGCACCTGCTCCATGAGACAGCACAGAAATTGCCAAGTGCTGAGTTTAGAATTTCGTTTTCTTTGAGATGAAGAAAATACAAAAGAAAGGGAATGTTCTTGTATTGACGAAGCCCCATAGTCCAGCAGATACCTTGACTACCCGAGCCAGCCGTCTCCCATCCCCAGACCAGCTTTCCAAGATGTGCCTTACTCCATCATATTCGTTCCCTTAGACCACTTTTCTGTTGATAGCGTAATACAGTGTTGGTCTAAATGTGTCAAGTATTGGGACCCTTAATCTGAGCTTTGCTCCTCTGGCTTGGATTGTTAGTATAGATTTACTAAGATGAAATCTAGTGATCCTGAAAATGATGTTGGTGACCTTTGAATTCTTCTCATTCTAACGTTAACCAATACAAGTGTCAATATCCTACCTTATCAATACCTGTGTCCCTCTCCCCTCCCTGTGTCTGTACCAGTTTTATTATTTTTTTAAGTTTTTATTGTGAATTATGTGGGTTTACATGGGAGAACATCGGTTTTACATTCATCCTATCATATTTCATTTCATTGCAATGATTACAATGCCCTCCATGCATCAAATAACCAGAGGTGTACCAGTTTTGATTCAGGGCATTTTTGGTGGCCTCCAGTAGCACTGGGCTTCTCACTTGTGACAGTGCTGTTGTGACTACCTTGCATTAGTAACAGTCAGGCTGCCCATGGACGTAGTAACTGCCCTGTGGGTATTAAGCTGCTCATTGGAGCTGCCTTTTCTTAAACCAAAACATTAGGGTTCAGTAAAGATGCAATCAAAACTGAAATAACAAATAATTTGAAGAAATAAGTTACAGTTAAGTCATATCAGATAAGAAGAATACTTACACAAATAAATGCAGATGATTCCACGAAGCTCACTTTAGCCTGAGCGATTACTCTTCTATAGCTCTTTAGGAAGACAGTTGCCAAGAGTCCTTAGAGGTGACTCATCTGAGTATTGGTTTCTTCTCTTTAGCAACCTATACATTTTAAAGGTGCTCATTACTTCTTGTCAGATTATAGGCAGGGGCTACAGCAATTCACTACCACATGTTCTTTAATCAGCTTAGCCACCAATAAAGGAACAAAGCCTCAGATCTGTTTTTGGTTTACTGGTTTCTCTGTGGAAGTTTTCCAAATTCCTGGTGAATTGCATGTCTGCCTTAAACCTACTTGGTAGCCCCTGTAGACAATTAGGTATTTGTTACTATGGAGCAGTGTTTTCATTAACCTGGTAAATCTCTCTACAGCAATGTTTCCCAGACTGTGTATGTGAAGATGCTTATAACAACACATATGCTTGTGTAAGGACGATGTCAGCACTGTGGAATTTGCAGTATTGCGAGTTTGATGATCAGGAGGTAAGAGGAACTTCTGCCTGCTACTGCTCCCACCCCTTTTGTTTGTTGTTAGGTTTGGTGGCATAGGAACAATTCTCAGGATGCTCCCTAGGGAAGACGTATTTCTTATCTATACTTCATTGTACATTCATTTTAATTCTCTGTAAGAACTGTGGTCTCTAGATGGAGTTTTATCTACTGCCACAACTATCCAGTGAGTCCTGGAGTGACACTGGGATAAAGCACTGGACTGCAAGGCCGGTTTAGACCACAAGGTCGGTGGTTCAAATTCACCAAGCCACTCCTTGGAAACCCTATACAGGGTTGCTATGAGCTGGAACCGACTTGATGGCACTTAACCACCACCACCACCCTCCAAACATGCACACTTTAAATGTCCAGTTCCCTTTTTTAGAATGATACATGTCTGGTTCATTAACTTCCCTGGAAGTTTTGGGTGAACATAGGTTCCTCAATAAAAGTGAAACGTGTTGGGGCAATCCATAAAAAAAAACTTACCAGTAACTAACGTGTTCAGAAACTTCTGTTGCCAACACAGAGTAGTTACCTGATGCTGAAATAGATTAGCAGTTGGGGAAATCAAAGGCACAACCAGATGCTCCCTCCTTCAGATCAGTGTGGACTGTCTGAAGCACCACATGGACCCAAGTCTCTTGTGATTTCACAGCATCCATCAGTGTGTGCTCGCCTGCCCCACCTGACTACCATCTGTGTCTGACTCAGCCATTCTGTTTGCAGCCCGAAAGCACTGTCTGTGGAGCACAGGCAGGGGCATTTTCTCAGCCTGCGTCAAGGCCCTTTCCTACTGAGAAGCCATTACAAACTCAGTGCCTCTTCCCTTCACCTCCACGTGTTTATTAGTCTGAAAGCTCCTTTGTAAGGGATCATCTCGGGCAGCTATTTGAAGCCAAAACTTGCCCATTGTTTTCCTAGCCTGTCATTTAACTCTACTTGGGGGAAGAACATAACAAGTTAAAGGAAAACAAACAAATACTTACACAAGACATGTCTAATGTTAGACATAAGGAGCCCTGGTGGTGCAATGGCTAAAGTATACCACTGCTAATAGAAAGATCGGTGGTTTGAACCCACCCAGCAGGTTGGAGGGAAGACCTGGCTATCTGCTTCCAAAAAGGGTAGTGGTGGTTGTTAAGTGCTGTTGAGTTGGTTCTGAGGAGTGGCTGGTAGGTTTGAACTGGCAACCTTGCAGTTCAAACTGACCTTATGGTCCAGTGCCTAGCCCACAGTGCCACACCAGGATTATAGCCTAGAAAACCCTGTGGGGGCAGTTCTACTCTTATCACATGGGGTTTCTGTGAGTAAACAAGCAATTTGACAGCACCTAACAACAGCGTTAAGGAGCTCTGGTAGCATAGTGGTTACGAATCGGGCTGCTAACCTTAAGGTCGGCAGTTCAAAACTGCCAGCTGTTCCTCAGGAGAAAGATGAGGCTTTCTGCTCCCGTAAAGATTTACTGCCTCGGAAACCCTGTACAGGGTCGCTATGAGTCGGAACCGACTCCACGGCACATAACAACAACAACAACAGCGTTAGATGTGATGATAAACTGTTGCTTTTTGTTCAACTGGTAGACAGCTAAAACTGTGTTTTAAAACACAAGCTGGACTACTCTTGCATCCATTTTCCACTGAAGTACCACTATTTATGGCAGAAATAAATAGCTAGTTGTTAACGCTCACTTCAGTACCTTTGCCAGTAAGACTTGTTCCTGAGATGTTGCCATTTGAGTGTCCTGCCTTCTGCTCTCCGGTTAAATTACACAGGGTAATCAATGTCCTCCCCTGTGTCCCTCCACACTGCCTTAAGGCACAGACAGTGTGTGCTGGGGGTCCCTGTCCAGCATGTGGGCTGTAGACCTGATGCAATTTAACCCCACAACAGATGCTCCATTGTCTCAGAAGGCAGTGTGGCTCTTTGAGGATCTTGAGACCAGATGACGTCCCCTGGTATAGCTCTTTAGTCATCCGTTGGTAGATCTCTACAAGCATGAATGTTTATCTTTTTTCCTCCATCCTTTCATATCCTGTAGGTGTTTGTGGAAGTCTATAATCTGACTGCAGACCCACACCAAATCACTAATATTGCTAAAACTATAGACCCAGAGCTCCTAGGAAAGATGAACTATCGGTTAATGATGTTACAGTCCTGTTCTGGACCAACTTGTCGCACTCCAGGGGTTTTTGACCCCGGGTAAGTTTCCTTTTCCTTCAGTTACCTTGTCAAGCTGCCAGTAGCTGTCATGCTATTCTTGAAGGCAAGGGGAGTCTTCAAGATGGAACCTTTTTTGCTTTGAGCTAAGCTACATTTATTTTATCATTTTGTAACAATGAAAAATGGGATTCTTAGTCTCTTGTCACTAACACAGCCAGTCCTCAGAGATAGGGCTCTTAGCATTGAGCAAAGCCCTTATTGTGCATCAGTCAGTATACAAGGGAACCAAAATTGCTCTGATCTGGAGGTGCAACCTGGGGTTCTTCCGGGGAAGAAAAAAAATCTCAGAACTTGTAGTGAGGCATCGTTATATTGGTTTTCTGTTTTTAGAAACCTGTTTGCTGGTTTTTATTTTTTCAACTTTTTATAGTACAATGAGTAAAGGTTTACAGAGCACATCATCAGTTTCTCATTTAATAAATCATATACTTTGCTTCATTACAACGATTGCAATCCCCTCCATGTACCAACAGATTATAATATTTACCTCTGTTCACTTTAACTCTTGCATTCTTCCCTTCACTTTTCCTGTGCTAATCTCCCTCTTGTTGTATATTACCTGCCCTGGCACCCATATTAACATGTGACTACCCTCTAGCCAAAAGGTACCCTCTGTACCGAAAGGAAATGGTTGATGTTCAGCCGTTTCAAGAGGTATCATGTGCTCAAAAGCCAGTGATACTGAAGGAGAAAGTCCAAGGTACGTTGAAGGAATTGGCAAAGAACAAGGCACCAGGAATTGATGGAATGAAAATTGAAATCTTTCAAGAAAGTGATGTGGCACAAGAGGCACTCACTCATCTTTGCCAAGAAATTTGGCTGACTGATTGGAAGAGATCGTGTTTGTGCCCATTCCAAAGAGAAGTGTCCCAACAGAATGCGGAAATCATTGGACAATCTCTTTGATATC